GTTTTGACTTTGGAATATTGGTAGCTCGGGAGGCTTGCTCAGTTGTTGTGGAGTTCTCCGAGCTGGGCAACTTGGTTGCAAACGTTTCGCCACCATTCGAGGTGGCATCTTCAGTGCGGGATTGATAGCAGTAAAGTAGCAGTAGCTGGTAGAAAGCAAACCCAATAATGGATGCTGTCAGCAGCCACTCCGTTCCTTATATAGGCATACGGGGCTATTAATTTTGCCTCGTTCTCATTGGTGAATCCTTGTGTTCAGCGGTTGTGCTCGAGTCATTGTCATTGGCTGCGGAAACGTTGTTGCGACGTGGTTGGGAATATCGCACGCGGATTGGTGCAAGGGGGTGTGGGTGAGTAGTCTGGACTCATATTGACCATGCTGTTCATTGTCCGTGTATCGGATTAGGTTCTTTCGGACAACGGTTTTTGATCCGTTTGAACTCTCTCTGTCTCAGCGGTTGATATATTGGATCGAGGTCGATATGCATGTTGATTGAGTTCGTGGTTGAGAACCAGGCTTCGAGAAACTCCCTCCCTTTTTGTGTTTCTCCTTTGGTCAAGATCTCTACTTTGCTCCAGTCGAAGCTGTGTCCCTCTTCATCCACATGTGCTGAAACCAATGAGTTTGCGTAATGGTTCTTGCACGCTCTTTGGTGTTCATGTATCCTGGTGGACAGCTTCCTTCCTGTTTGTCCCACATAGTGCTTTTCACAGTTTACGCAGTTTATTCTATATATGACATTTTGTCGTTCTAGTGCCTCTCGCTTTCCTTTTGGTTTTGACAATGTTTTCCTCAGAGTGGCGGTTGGCTTGTGGGCTACCATAATATGATGTTGGTTGAACAATCTGGCAGTCATTTCAGACACGTTCTTTATGTACGGCAGAACTATACGTTTCGCCATAGCTGACGTAGGTTCGGTTTTTGAGGGCTTGCGATTTAGGCATCTTCGGAGGAAACTGCGTGGGTATCCGTTGCGTTCGAATGACCTGAATAAGTGTTTTTCTTCTGCTCGTTTCGCTTCTGTCGTACTGCAGTGAGTTTCTATTCTATGGAACAGTGTCCTCACACAGCTTATTTTGTGACATCTTGGGTGGTTGCTGTTGAAATTCAAAATCTGATCGGTGTGCGTGCTTTTTCTGTAAACTGAGGTTTGCAATTCGCCGTCCATTGTCCTGGCTACCAGTACATCCAAGAAACCAACCAACCAGCTGGGCAACCAAGTTGCCCAGCTCGGAGAACTCCACAACAACTGACGTAGAAGCACTGTTGTGCTTCATTTATGTCACCTTGTCACAGCATGAAACTAAGCACGTTTGTTTTCACATTCGCAGCTCTATTATGACGCCAGACAGATAGAGATGCAGCTGAATGAAAGGTGCCGAAAATTCATACGTTCCAAAAAGCAGTACAATTGGAACCGATGCACTGGGTCGGTGGTGGAAGCCCGTGAATTGGCCAACCTGTTAAAAGTAGGTTCCTGTTTTTACTTTTCTGGATGCTTTCCTAAAAATATGCACCTTATCGAACTGGAAATGTGAAACCATGACTTCCTCGATGCATTACCTCTACCGTCAGGCAGAGTAAAGGTTAGAATAGGAATTGCGACCTAGGGAGTTTTAGAGAGGCCTAGGTCAGACGACCCTAATGCCTGACACTTCAGTTTCAGCAAGCATTTGGTTTGATTTGGCTTGGTTTCACGTCTTCAACAGGACTGTTTTAACATACGCGTTAATGGCACTTGGAGTAGTGGCATATGTTAACTTTCCAACATCCTTGAATAAAGTGTCATAAAAGGCATATTCTTCTGCAGCAGCTACTGAATTTCTATTTGGTATATTAACTGTCACTGTTTTGGAATCATATTCGCCTACTGTATGTGGTTTTGTCCCCACGCTTTCCTTACCTATATGAAGCAGGTATGCAGTTAAGTCCGTTATGATAACTTTTCAAACGTGCCAGATGAAACGTCTGTTTGTTGGTCTTTTTGCACTGAACGGTGACCTCTTTCGACAGGCTGATTATGAACATTTGAATCACCTGGCCGCCAAAGCAGGAGAAATTCTGGATCGATCTTCTACAATTGTTCCAATACATCTTCGGCATGCGAAGTTAGAACACCCCGTTAAGGGTATCATGCTTTGTGACTATGAGACTCCAATGTTCAAACTCTGTGCCGGAGATGAAGTGTTGGTACGCACCTCGTCAAACGAGGTGGGAGAAGGTCATCCTGACGTGAATGAAGTCGCGACCAATGGGACATCCACGGTAAGCGAATCGGTACACGACGAAGAGTCAGGTGATTTGACACATCAGAAACCAGAACGCCTCCAAGAGAGAATGGCAAAGACCCCATCCCGTCCATTCGGTTGGGAGAGAGAGGAGTCAACAACGGTCACCAGTGACTCGAACACCGGTGTCAGTGCTTCCTACCTCACAGGCTCATCGCATAGGAAGCCGACGGCGGATAAGTTGCATTGGTTTGTGCGCACTCCGGACGGTTATGTGGAGAGTCGAGTACCTGCGGTGTGCGTGCTGATCCCTGGACCAGACACAGACGCTTGTCAGCGAGCCATCGCGTGAGTTTAATTATTTTAACATTCTGCTCTCACTTTGTTAGGGAAGTACTTGTGTTCCGGGTTGTGCTGCCCCTACAGATCTTATTAATCGGTGTTGAACAGTTGCCTTAGTAGAACATAGCACAATGGTATACTACGGACAAAAAAGCCAAGGTTTTACAGGTTCCGTGGGACGCTTTGTGTGAATTACATAAGTTCAAAAATTGTAGTTCCACAAGCGAAACGTGCACCTGTGCACTTACCATATTCCCCACCATAACACAGATGTAAATTCGTTTACCCCGTTATCTAGGAGGTTGGTGAGCATAATGTTTGCTCGTGGGATGGCATTAATGGAGAAAAGAAAAAAATCATGACAAAGTGAAAATAGTTTTGGTGGATTCACCATAAGCATGAGTAGAAGCAATGAGATGCATGCGTCATAACATGATAAATCAATAAATCGGTTGACCGGGATTTTGCAAACACACGTTCGCTTTTTGTAACCCCTGGCCAACAAAGTTATGAAACGAAATGCCACTGTGAAAACACTTTGTCAAGTAGTTTATTAAATATAGTTAGTTTAAGGGCAGATAGGACATAATTTTGGAGACCTTTTCAAGTAAGGAAAAGAAGTTTCTACGGCATTCAAGTTGGCTAAACTGTATTATCATTTTCGGAGGATGAACTGTTAGTTTCGTGTTGTGGCCCAGTTCCAGCTCGAGGCGGCAAATGTGATTTGGATTCTTCAGTATTTGCTAAACCATTATGAGGTTCCTCGCAAACACCGCTATCGACTGCTGTACATTCTTAGAGATCAGTCTATGCTGGTAGGGTAGATGGAAGAGGCCCATAACATTCTTGGGTGCCATCCGTTGAGCAGTCTCAAGAGCAACGAGATCCGGCTTCCGCCATGGCTGCAAAGCTTGGATGGCGTATTCCACGTGCGGTCGCAAGTAGGCATTAAGCATTTGTAAGAAGATTGGTGGGTCAAACCGACCTAACGTAATGCGAAGAAAGTCGAAGTGTAGTGTATCGGTTCTCGACGCATTCTCTGCTTGTTTTGAGCATCCGAGATCGTCTTGTATCAATAAAACCAAGCCACGCTCCTGAGAGGCCTTCTGCAAGGTGTAAACTCAAAACTTGTACACGCCCGCCGTCCACTGACGCAGGTAGATCGCCTTGCACTTAGCTGTGTTCAAATGGAGTAGCTTCCTCGTTGACCATTCCTAAATGCAATCCAGTTCTTGTTGGTGTAGATCGTTATCTTCTCTGGTATCAATTTCTCTCCACATAGTGACGTCACCCGCAAAAAGCAAGCATTTGGAGATAATAACTCTTGTTCGTCGCAATTAGCCGACAATTCAGATATGTCGGCCAGCTGTCCAGAAAAGCACCAGACGGCCGTTTCGCCCTATTGGGGCTCATCAGTGGTGCGCATCCTTCGGTCCTCTGTGGAGGATCGAACCCATGACTGCTAGTGGCTCTTGCCAACTAGCCCGCAGCTTATGCAACTGCGCCATGGAGGACGGTATCTGACTATCGTGAATTGTTAGCTAAATGCAATATAGCCCGACGCATCCTCCACTGCCATGCAGGCACCTGCCATGCAGATGACAGCGGTCGGCCTTCCGGTGTCAGGACTTCCCGGTTACGGCAGCTATGAATCGACATAGCATTTTGTGGTGTCCGTACGGGCGAATTAGTATTACTTATGAATGGAAGGATTTTGGTGAGTATTTTTGTTCGTCGCAATTAGCCGACAGCTGGTCGACATATCTGAATTGTCGGCTAATTGCGACGAACAAAAGTACTCACCAAAATCCTTCCATTCATAATTAATACTAATTCGCCCGTACGGATTCCACAAAATGCTATGTCGATTCATAGCTGCCGTAACCGGGAAGTCCTGACACCGGAAGGCCGACCGCTGTCATCTGCATGGCAGGTGCCTGCATGGCAGTGGAGGATGCGTCGGGCTATATCGCATTTAGCTAACAATTCACGATAGTCAGATACCGTCCTCCATGGCGCAGTTGCATAAGCTGCGGGCTAGTTGGCAAGAGCCACTAGCAGTCATGGGTTCGATCCTCCGCAGAGGACCGAAGGATGCGCACCACTGATGAGCCCCAATAGGGCGAAACGGCCGTCTGGTGCTTTTCTGGACAGCTGGTCGACATATCTGAATTGTCGGCTAATTGCGACGAACAAAAGTACTCACCAAAATCCTTCCATTCATAAGTAATAATAACTCTTGTCTGGTCGTTGCTAAACACTGGGAATAGGCGCGGTCCCAGTACCAAGCCCAGGGGAACACCACATTTCACCTCATTCGGGTTAATGAGGAATCTCCTAACCCGCACTTGAAGCCTAGGTTGGTGAGGGAAGTTGCAGATACAACCCAGAGCACCATTTACGAATCCGTAACTCTGTATCTTGGGAAGTGGGATGCAGTGATCCAGGCAGTCAAAAGCTTTGCATAAGTCCAGATAGATGTCATCGACTCCGATCCCACCATCAGCCACTTCCGTCCAACTACCTCGTGCCATTAGCAGGTAGGAGGTTCATGACCGGTGTTGAGGGAAGCCATGCTGCTCCGGTGCCAAGATGTTGCATTTTCCAGGTAGTCGATTAGAGCCTCAGCGACGACCACTTTCATCACCTTCGCGAGCACAGGGAAGAGGGTCAGTGGGGATAGTTTACAGGATCTGAACGGCTACCGCATCTTTGGAAAAGCAATGACAGTGACTCGGCTAGCTTCGTGGTTGCAGCCTTGAATGTTTGCGGGAGGATGTTATGGGCTCCCGAAGGGCTGCCATTACGCAATGAGAGTAACTTCCTTATCCAAGTTGCTGGGTTGAAAATTATATGTGTAAACCCTGGAGTCGGTAATGTGCTTGACGTTATGGGACAGGTAGAGACTGCGAGTTCGAAAATCTAGGCGTATGGTAGCCGCAAGGCAATGGCTGCTTCACCCGTGCATTGTATCCTGCCGTCCGTTGTGTAAAGTGGAGGTATGCTATGATTTACATTGTGAAGATTGTTGACATGCCAATACAGTTGTTTGCCGTTTTCCAGACACCTTTTGGCTAGGCACTGTTTTTAGGTTACTTGATCCTCACCTACAAGTGTGGTACAATGGTTACGATGGGGAATGAATCTTCCCCAACTCTCTGAGTCTGGGTTAGCTTTGTAGGCACGCCATGCACACACCTTTTTGCCATGCACACTTTAGTCCTGCTTCTTAGCATTAACAGCACTTTAGCGGAGCGAAAGGGCTTGGTCTCCTATGCTCTGTTTACCTTGTCACTTAGTCTTTCAACGAACTTTGTCCAAACCTTGTCAAGAGGTTCGCGGTTGGAGCACTTCCAACCGGATGCCTCAACAAATGCTTTCAGGACGTGGTAGCGTGTAATTGTATGGGTTAGTTCCGAGTATTCAAACGGATACTTTGTGTAAAATGCACAGACCTACTCGACTCTCCATCGATAACTTATTGATCCTGATCTCTGCTTTTGTGAGCACGTCTCATGTGAACGGCTTTTTTGTTGTCCGGAATCTAGTGGGGTAGGTAACATGATTGTATGAGGGGATATTAGCGATAAGTTCATGCATGTCTACTTGATTTGTTCAGTGGACGATACCAATACCTCCAGATGGTGTAAGTGATAGTTCCCGGTGATGAGAACGTGGCTGTACCTAGTGTGTCTTACCCTGTTCAAGGCACCTATCAAGCTGGAATCCATTTCCGGTGTGGATGTTAGGGAGCGATAAACGACAGCTACGAGACACGACGTTGTTTCTTAGTCGAAGATGGCACCAGTGAGTCGGTAACATGAGTTTCCGGATCATCAACTAGTGAATATTGCAGGTCACTGCGGAAGAAGAGAAGAATCTCACACCCTCTGCTGTGACAGTTGTTCCGGATGAGTGACATCCCTGCGATCTCCACCCCATAATCAGCAACTTCTTGGTGTAAACAGGTTTCGGTACTGGAAATTAGGTCCCAAACATTCGCATCCAGGAGTACCTGAAGTTCATTAAATTTACTAAGGAGCCTATGGGCGTTAGTGTGCATACATGAAAGTTTCTCAGGTTTAGCAATGTGTTGGGGATTGTGCAATTCATACACTAACTTTCGCCGACCAGTGAATGGCCTGTGGCTAATTGTTTTTTCCGCGAGTGCTTGATGACTGGTTTGTCGTCTTAGCCATCGGATGCCTAGTTTGTCCCAAATCTAAGTTTCTACGTACAGGGCAAGTTGTCTGGTCACTCGGTTCATCAAAAGGATTATGGGTCCATCGGACACGCTACTGGCGCCCTATTCTATTATAGTTCCTATTACACTTTGTTCTTTGTGTGAGTTAATAGCTAGAGGGTATAATGCTCGTTGCCTTTAGCCAAATCTCAGATGATGGTCTGCAACAAAACATGCACCGACTTTACAGCAGCCTTCGTCATCATCATCATCATCTTCATCAACAGCATTGCATCAGCTGTTTGAACTGATGCTTCGCTGCCATACAACCATAAGGACCTATGAAATAAAGAATAAGAAGAGGGAGAGAACGGGGACTTACCTGAAAACCTTAATGCTCTAAGCAAACATTCAGGGTCAAAGCGCCTACACCTTGTGTAAACAACATACCGTCACAAACAGTTGCCTATCGTGCAAAGATAAGGCGGCATCGGCGAGACAGCTTCCTTGCGGCTTTCACTGCCACGCGTCATAATCAGCCATTACCCCACAGATAACTCAGCACCAAACACACTTTAAACAGGCAATCCGATTAGGAGACGGCAGCAGACGCGCCACTGGTGTCAACTGCGAGCCATGTCCTGTAAAGTCTCGAGGCAAGCACAAGGCGAGTCACGTGGACTCCAACCCGGAAGGCGAGACGGACCAACGGCACCCAGTTTGGTCGTCAGTGTCTTCATTTCCCGTAGCTAAGTCAACTTCTGTCCACCGCGAGCCTTGCTCCACCCTACACCTGGCAGATTAAACAAGGCCCCCCTAGGTA